TCGAAATCTTGCTTGTTGTTCGCGGACATTTGTCTCCCTAAACGGTGTTAGAGGTTAAAGTATGATGGAGGCTAGTATCTTGGTGACGATTGGGATCAAACTTATCCCACGGTGGATTGCGCAGTCGTTGCGAGATCTCTTCTTAAAAATTTTAACGATCAGTGATTCGCTCCAGGATGATGGAATGCGCTCGTATGACCAGATGTTACGCATTAAATAAGTAAAGGAGTCTACGAGGTCATCACTCCCTATCTTGAAAAGAGTGAGAGGAAGCCCGTCTGGTCCTGCTGTTTTTCCTTTCTTCAGGGCTTGGATGCAAGATCGAACTTCTGCTACAATAGGAGGTTCAAATGACACTGCCCACGGAGCCCTATCTACACCAGAGGAGATAGTCTGGTTAGTGCCTGGCCAGCTGAACTGTTCGTCGAAGTACTCCGCTTATCGGTGAAGTCGTTTCCCAAATGTGAATAGCTTGTCCACTTTTGTCGCAGATTGTTTTATTAACTGTGGTTCGCCTACCTCAGGCGGACTACTGCTTCAGCTCCATAAGCAACCTTCGCTGCAGAGTGCATTGCCCGTCTAATCTGATCCCATTGTTCATCTGCACTACCATCCCGCAGCGCGTTTAGCTGTGGCCCTACCTCTGATTCGAAACGGGCTCGAACGACCGGGTCAGATAAATGATGATCTGTCAATCGAATTTGGTGAGGTTTTCTGCGACCAGTGACTTGAAGAGTGAAGTGCATCGAAACTAACGCATGATCAGAATCAACGCAGGTAATCCAATAGGACCTACAGTTTTGTACTCAGCCACGCCAACGGTAGCTTACTGCTATGTGGTCGATTTGAGTTAGCGTATCAGTTGAATTGGAGCACCACGTTGCTGTTCGGAAGTTGGCGATGAATAGGAATGGATGATGATCCGCGCAGAACTGAAGATGTCGATCGCCATTATCTGTTCGCCGGCAGGGCAGAGCACAACTACCGCCTAGGCAAGCTTCCGATGCGCTCAGTTTTCCAACTTGAGCGTTAAAATCACCTGAGAGAAAAACAATATCGGAGCTTCGGCTAAATCGAATGAGTTCGGTGAGTTTATCATAAAACTCGTCCTTTTGTGCGTCAGAACTGCAGTTGGTCGGTGCATACGCTGAAGTGATGAGCAGACACCTTTTGGTGTTGCTTCCCTTCTGGACGCAGATAGACCCTTGGAACCGCATCGCACATAAGTGACTGTTGATGGGTATCCAATCGAACAGTGAGGNCAGTGAGGCTTCGGCTGTATTATTGATTTCAATGCCCACCACGCTGGCCGACTGAACGAGCTTCGTCATCACCTGACGTGCGGAGGAAGAACCTCGAAGACAACTCCGGTGCACTTAAGTGGCATATGGTACTAGGACCTTGGATTCGAGTCTCAGACACGCAGCAGGCGTCCCCAAGGAGTCCATTGTACGCTTGTTGACCTACCTGCAGGAGCTTCCTCAGGTTGTAGGCCCCTAGATTCAGTGGTTGATGAGGTTTCAGAATCTGCACCCTATTTTGTGGTAAACTATGTACCGAGCTACTTGGCAACGAACTTTGGCGAATGACGAACAAGTTGTCTGAGGGAATGTCACGGATTGGAAGAAACGGTAAAGGGAGAGGGTTGGGTACGAAAAACAAAGAGTTAAACAAAGGTTGGGATATCTGAGCAGTAGCCCATTTATCACTTCTACTATCCCTGACTATTGGAGGCCGGTCACAATCATACCAATCCCCAAAGCATCCAAATCTTTTATCCTCTCCAAACGTTTTCCCCCTAGCATTAACATCTTTAGCTCTTAAATTGACTGAAAAGGCCATCCTCAAACGCCTTCAGCAGTCTATAAACATTCCCAGTGATCCGTTACAGTTTGCTTACAAGCCTAGTGGATCCATCTTGGACGCAGTCTCCACCCTCATTCATTTTATCACCAAGCCTTTGAACAGCTCTGTTAAGTCTATCCAGTGTTTTCTTCTGGACTACTCGTCTGCATTGAATTCCATTCTTCGACCTAATTCGTTACAATAACTGGAATCATTTGAATGTCCCAAGCAGTTGTTAGCTTGGCTATCCAACTATTTTACCGATAAGCTACAAACCACTAGATTGGGGGAGGCCACATCGAAACCTGTAGTCAACAACTCCAAGGTCCTTCAAGGAGCTGTGTTATCCCGGTACTTATTTTCCACTTATATTTGTGATATTTCCTGTGTTTCTCCCGCACGAATTTTGAAACATGCAGATGATGTCGTGTTGAGCCAGCCCATTTCTTCTTACTCTGATCTAAGTTCTTTCACTCACTATCTTGATCAAATTCAGTCATTCTCCTCCTCATCGGGACTAACCATGAACCCCAGTAAATGTGTTCAGTGTTTATATAGTTTTGCTCGCTCCCCATATCCAACAGACCCCACAATGATTAATAACAATCCTTTATCCAGGGTGAACTCTGTCAAATATCTTGGTGTAACCATAGATAGCAATCTTCATTGGTCAACCCACATCCACAACTGCATTGGTAGACTGCGGTGCCTATCATTTCAAATCCGAAAGCTCAGGCAGTTTCGTGCATCCCTTTCAGTCATTTCTACCTTTATCAGTGTGTTTTCCCCATCTTACTCTACTGTTCCCCAGTCATTTTTCCTGGCTTACTCAAACAGGATTTTAAAGTCTTACGCCGCGGTCTAACCATTATTAGTCGTGTCTCTTCTATTCCTGTGAATGAGTTAGATTTAAAGCTTTCAGAGTATCATGTAACTTCCCGTGTGAAGTTCGCTAAGAGGATTCTCACAGATCCTGAGCACCCATTGCACGCAGAACTGACACGATATCGTTCCCATCATTCAACACGTTCCCAGTTCCGCCGAATTTTATCGCGAATGAACTCTCACCGCAATTCACCTATACCGTATCTTGCTCGTGTACTCATAAACAAAAAGCGGACTATAAGTGAACTTTGTCTTAACCTTGGGTTATGAAATATCCTCATGTTTGTAAAGAACATTTTTCGTAGTTTGTTATTTACATTGTGACGGTTAACGTGCATGATTTTTTAACTGAAATGTGAGCTCCAGTGCTTGCAAAAGTTATACACAAAACTACCCACACCGCTCGATTGTGCTGCGCGACGACTCAATTGTTTTGTTTGTGTATGCATTTGAGTTTGATGGACGGGCACTGCCACGGTATCCAGCCACTAAGCAGGACGACGGTTAAGGTTCCCGTCTAGAGCCTCTAGTTCTAACAAGAACCGCAATGCAGCTCGTAAAGCGAAGTAGAGGCCCATTTACTTGGATCTATTACTCCTCTGCCGTTCTACCGACTTTGACGCAACTCCAGTCGAACTCCCAACCTGGAGGATTAGGAAACTGGACTTCGTCTGACCTCAACCAATGGACCTTCCATGCATGATCAGATCTTTGGCTTAACAAAATCCATTCTGTTTAGCTCGTTGAATCACAGAGATGCACAAGCCATCACCACGTCAATCTTCAGTTTCATCGTGATGGCACTCCGTGCAGAATATTCTACACCACACACTCCCATGTTTCCCCAACCTCTCCACTTTTTATCTTTAACCTTTCCATATAGGTCCCCCTCTATCGAGTTCATCAGGGAATCGCACTAATCGTAGTATCTCGGATGAAAATTCGGCCGCCTTTTTCTTGCGTCCTACTTCGAATACTGTTCAAACCTCGCTAGCTGAATTCCTTCATCCTCGTCGTCCGTACAAGCTAGCCACGTAATGTACGTAATCTATTGCATGTAAGGCAACAGCCGTATTTAGCTCGTACGTTGGAGGCCCTAACCACCGATTTTTTTCATTACACGCTGTAGTGTGGTAAACACCAGACAGGACAAACTCCATGGTCACAAAGACCTGCTGTTCAGTCATGGAAACCGGTAACCTGAGCCCTAGGACTTGGAATGGTGAATCACATAAGGCTTCGCTAAGTTAAACGTGGTATTGAACCGCAGTGGTGGCGCAGTGGTTTCAGTCGATGTCACCGGCGTGCCCATAAACCTGTGGTTCGAAGTTCGATCCACAACACCGCCAACCAACTTTGGTGGTAGGTAGCTTTGCTGTCGCCCGGTTTTATACCATACCTGAGCTAGCGTGGCCGTATGTGGTTCGCCACTCCAAGCCCCGGGGCTTAGATTGCCGGTTACCATCACTGAACAGCAGGTTTTTGTGACTATGAGGTTCCACTTGAAGTCAACCGGCCTACTATAGCATTCACATCTCCGAAGATTACGATATCAGTCCGGTTTGCTTAATGCAAGATGTGGTGTAGTTTTTGATAAAATTCATCTTTGCATCTGGGCCGCAGTCCGTGGGAGCACACGCCGACACGACAAATAAGTTTCGTCTATCGCCCCTACAAAGATTTCTCTAATTGGAGTTTTATGCCCTGCGAAGTCGTCATCCAATTTATCGCTTTGCAGTCTAACGCATAAATGTATGTAGAAGGTCTTACCTCTGAATATTAAGTGACTCAGATACTTCGACTATCTCCGGATTCATCAAAATGCCTTTCTACTTCCTACAGCTAACTACAATACGCTTTTTTTACAACACCGCCTACAGTTGCTCCTTAACAGCATTTTTTGACAACGGCTTCACATCTGATTAATAGCGTTCTAACTCCAAATCCGATTGTTTCCAATTGTTTGCTTTAAATGTGCACCGAACAGCCTGTTATGTGTATTCTTAACGCATTCTCTCTTTTACCGTTCTATAAGAATGATTATTTAGTAACTGCGCATTTTCCTTCAGGAGCCGACAAATATGAACATTATACAAATTCCAAGTGTTTGATAACCAGTCCTTTCAATTTGGCGACTGTCAACCAAACGTTACACTTGATCAAGATTTTAATTTACTACTTTATTATCCCTTGAAATGAAGTTGTCTGCAAATTCATACATCAATTCATTTTTATTGTTTCAGCTCTGATCTCCAGCGGCACTTGTCTGCATGCAGCCGACTATATCTGTGGAAGAATTCCAACGCTTTCAAAGTCAGTTGCTAGATCTACGTGAAGCCCAAATCCAAGCGACAGATGCACGTCTCAGAGCCGAGTCACAGGCGAAGCAATTAGAGGCAGAAGTAGCCCAGTTGAAAACCTCCTTGAGTGCCGCACAGGCCGGTGGTCCACAGAAGCGTGTTGATCAGTTACTCCGAGATAATGCTCAGTTGCGAGAAAAGCTTCTGGGCACTGAGTCGGCTTTCCAGCTACAATCCTCTACACTCCGGGCCGAATGCTTACATTTGTCCTCAGAAGTTGAGCGCCTTAATGGATTGCTCAGTAAACCTCGAAACGAGGCAATCGTGCAGACGGAGCCAGAAGCACAACAACTGCATGCACAGGTTCAAACGGATGAAGACCAGTCTCCAAACGTTCCCAGATCCCCCAGTCCGCATCCGCCTTCACAGATGACATTAGAAGCCATTCAAGAAGTAGAGGGCCGTATTGACGCGTTGTCTGGTCTTCTGAACAGCCATGTAGAGACCAAACTAAGCTATCTCGAGAATCGACTTGAAATTGAGGTGAATGAATTACGCTCGAATATTGCTGCACGCGATGCGATTGAGGCCAGTCTCGTAGCGGAGCTAAAACTGTCAAAACAATGCACACAAGAAGCGCGAGAGTCGGAACAAGAACTTCGTAATCAACTGATCGCAGTGAAGAGACGTAGTGAAAAATTAACGCGTGAATTACGTCGTCAGTTGGCCCGCGTACTGCGAGCAACTGTTACCGGTGAATCGGAACGCAGCTCTCTGCGTAAATTATCTATCTACTCCTCTTCTTCCTCTCTGTCCAGTTCAACCAACATACCGGGTTCACTGGTGAACGGTGAGGGATCGTCGCGGCAACAACCAGCGGGTGAAACGAATGATGGTTCATCGCTTGGTCAATCCGATATTCCGGTTGGATTTTTCCCCATGGCTGACTTCAAGGTTAGTCGCTCCACAATTTTTGTTGCTCCATCTTTTCATGTTCAACAGTTTCAGGCGGTCAAGATTTTCCCATCGTTTTTTAGCCCCTGCTGGTACCTTGCTATTACCTTGGACATATCGCATCAGAATTTTGACCCAGCTACATGACTTGACAGTTTGTTTCGAGTCCCATGAGTATTTCGCACTCAGATAAGAAAAAACACAATGGTTAATTTTCATAAAAAGTGTTACTTCACTGTTCAACGTATTGGTTCACGGATCCGAATAGCTTTATGATGGTTGAGTTAAATTATTGACTGGAACTGACCATCCTTCAGGCGTCACCTTCACACACAATCCTCACTTTATTCAGTCACAGTGTATGGTTGATTGGATGAACTGAGGATTGTGTGTGAAGGTTACGTTTGAAGGATGGTCGGTTCCGATCAATATCAATTATCCCATACCACTACTCAGAAATAATTATGCGTTGCATTTTGGTTCACTAAAATCATACCTTTCACGTTGATACAAGCACTCAGTAGCTGAGTGATATGGGCGTCAAAATAACCACCTGTAGCTTCTGAGTTCGAATCCCCGCAGCCACCCACTTCATTCTCTGTATTTCCTCAGACAGCCTTTGCATGACGGTGACCCTCTTCTGAAAGTTTATAACATATTTCTATGATCATTATACAAAAACGAGGTCAAGGTTATTATTATTTATTGTTGATTCTTTTGCTGAATCATTTTTTGTTCTTTCGTCTGATTGTGCACACTATTATATGTCCCGTTGACTTTCCTTTCGTTCCGGTGATCGATTTGTTATTTAGCCAAGCGAGTGCTTAGTTCTCCCAGTCTGTGACAAGTCAATACACATGCAGACATGCTCACTCGTATGACTTCAATCGCACGAGTTCTTTTGCAATTGGTTGACCCTTCTGCTCTTATTCTATTTCGGTTCACCGCTTATCATTTATCGATTATTTCACCGCCCACGCACACGTGATCTGTTCTGATGGCTCCTTGGGCGTCACCTGCATGCACGCACGTCTTTCATTGCTTGATGAGAGGTCGAATTGTGTGCGCCAATCCTTTGGGAGCTGCCTGACGACTTATTTTGTTTCACTCAGTATACTTTGGCCACATTCTCTCGTGACACAGCCGTGAGCTGTCCGCTTTTGAAGCGCCTTAATTGTCAGGTGAT